ATTCAAAATGATTCACAAAGCACTCATCTGTAAGAATTGATTCACTGAAGTAAAAACACGCATTTGGAATAGAATAAATGCTAATACTGCAGAAATGCTTTTTTCTCTATGCATAGAAAAATTCCTGGTCCTGGAGGGCCACTGTCCTGCAGTGTCCTGAGTTTAGCTCCAACCCTAATTAAGGAGTGTGTTGGGGCAAGTTGGAGTTAAGTTCTGCAGGACGTTGACCCACTAGGAGCAGGTTTGGACACCCTTGAACTATGGTTTCTGAGCTTGATTCTTCCTCACTTCAGGCAGAGCTAGAGCTCTCTCTAGAGGAGAGTCGGCAGAGTGCAAGAGCGGCTCAGGAGTCTCTGAGTGAAAAAGAGACGGAACTGAAAGAGCTGCGATCGCAGAAAGCTTTAGACCAGGGACTGGTGTCCAAAGAAGACCATGAGGCCCAGAGACTCTCCCTACAGGCTGAGATCAATACCCTGATGGCCCAGTTAGCCGATCTAGCACGCAAGCACGAGAAGACATGCACTGAGGTGTGTGTTGTCCTTGATGTTGTTTATGACAGTTTCCACTCCACCTATTTGCACATGATAAAAAGTCTCCTTCCACAGGTGTTCCAGGTGCAGCGGGAGGCTTTATTTAATAAGAGCGAGCGTCAGGTGGCTGAATCCCAGCTGGAGGCAGTTAAAAAGCAGCTGGCGGATCTTCAGGCCGAGTCCACCCACATTCAACAGCTGCACCAGGACATCCAAGACTCGCAGGGGCTCATCAAGGAGAAAGACCGCAAGGTGTGAGGGGGAAAAAGTTGGGCTGTATCCGAATATGCCTACTTCCATACTATACAATCCGTAGTATGTCCGAATTCACAGTATTGATAAAACAGTAGGCGATAAGTACCTGGATCTCCAGTGAGACTCTGAAGTGCACATCTAATGGACACTTGACTATCCCATGAGGCCACAGGAGAGGAGTTGTGAATAGAGTGCAGCAGTCGGGTTCTAGAAGCAAAATCCCATTCATTTTCTCAATAGGGGAATTGATTTTTAACAACAACTTATAAACCATAAAAAGACCTAGTGTGAGCTACAAGGTTGTAATCGATGCTATATATATTTGTTGAAGTCATCAGTACATAATCATGTTCAGTAGTGGAATTAGTGGTGAAAAACTACATTACCCATAATTCTGGAAAAAATTCCACCAATCAGAATCGTGTCAGTAAATCCCATCCAAATAACACTTTAGCGCCTGTCCATTCTCACAGATCACTGTGAATGATGTAAAAATCCATGATATGGACATTTGATTCTTTCTTTTTCCGCTTTCTTACCGTCTCCCTGCAGATCACAGAGTTGTCTAAGGAGGTTTTTCGTCTGAAGGAGGCTCTGGGGGCTTTGACTCCTCCACTGGCACGTTCTCCATCGCCACCATCCTCAGGGATACCTGGACAACAGTTGGCACTGCAGAACCGTGTAACCTCATTAACACAGCAACTCCAGGTGAGCGTAACGCTCCTCGCTTTACCAGCCTTATTGATAATTACACGCTTAAAAATAAAGGTTCTTTATGGGCATTGATGGTTCCATGAGGAACCTTTAAGATCCTTGGAACCTTGCACAAAAGATTCTTTATAGTGGAAAAAAAGTTCTTCTGATTTTTATAATGGTCTTCTCATGAAGAAACTAATGGTTCTTTTAAGAGCTGTTCAAGGAAAGGTTCTTTGGGGAACCAAAAAAAGTTCTTCTGTGGCATTGCTGTGAAGACCACCTTTTGGAACCTTCATTTTTAAGAGTGTAGAAGAACCGATTTTGCTTCCCTAAAAAAACTTTCAGTGAAAAGAACCATTTTTTTCCT